CCCTGGAGGTGTTCAAGGCCAGGCTGGATGGGGATTTGAGCACCCTGGTCTAGTGGGAGTTGTCCCTGCCTATGGCAGGGCAGGTGGAACTGGGTGATCTTCAAGGTCCTTTCTAACCTAAACAATTCTATGATTCTATGATATAAAAGAAGCAATTGAACAAAAAGCATTACATAGGTTTTGCTTGGCTACACAAAATAGATCAAAAGCAGCCAATTATCCACACCATTTGCCTAAAAGTTTCCTCCCATAACAGAAGGGCCCTGCTGCAATGGAAAGCTCCAGACAGAGTAATTTTCCTAGTATTTCAGCAGTTCTCATTTCTGGGTGGCAGCAGGTAAACTGTGGTGAAAACATGAGGGGACATTTACCTTTTGTGGTTCTTTTGAGATTACTGGTATTGAGATTTGGTATTTTTACTCCAGTACATCTCATTTTTTGCCTAACCACCTAATTACAATTTCTTTCTTATTACTGGCAGGCATGAACTAGCAACCTGCAAGAAAATACGTCCAGTCTCAAGCTGTTTGCAATCAGTATCTCATCTTGAAAGATGATCCAGGTTTTTGGAGAAAAATAGTGAGTCTGTGATTCATCTCTGTGATTTTAATAGGACAAAATCACACCTGCAGATGAAAACCCTGTTAAGAACTAGGGTGATTGAGGCTAGGATCTATATTTTGCAGTTTGGCTTCCATTTTGACATTTTAAATATTCTACACTGGCTTATCTGAGTGTGAAAATAAGTCCCTTGGACAAGTAAAATGACACAATTTAGCTTTTTACAAGATGAGTTGCCCATGTACGTTCACTGTTTCCTTGGATACTAGAGATTTCATGCCACAGTTCAGCCACACAAACATTTTCTATTCCATCACAGTACCTGGAACAGGAATGAAAAATCCTCAGAAATTGTTAAGACATGAATAACACTGCAGGTGTAACCTCAAGCAGGAACCTCCTAGACAGGGTCAGATAGAAGTGGACAGGGAGCGCAGAAAGTTCATTGTCTGCATAGGCTTCTCAGTGGTGCTTTCTCTTGCTTTTCTAAGCAGGTAAGACTTGCACGGGAATATTCTCTTTTCTTCACCATTCTGAAGCTGCAGTTGTTTTTGCTTTTGGCATCAACCACCCTGATATTTGCTGGAAAGGTAACACAGCCAGGCACACACAGTTTCTGCAGAGCATTGATGATAACTTTTTGACACAGGTCGGGGAGGAACCAACAAGGAGAGGTGTGCCACTGGACCCTGTGCTGAAAAACAAAGGACTAGTTGGGGATGTGAAGGTTGGGGGCAGCCTTGGCTGCAGTGCCCATGAGATGGTGGAGCTTAGGATCCTGCAGGGAAGAAGCAGGGCAATAAGTAGGATTACAGCCCTGGGCTTCAGGAGAGCTGACTTTGGCTTCTTCAAAGGCTTGCTTGGAGGAATCTCATAGGCTAAGGCTCTAGGAGGAAGTGGAGTGCAAGAGAGCTGGTTAATATTCAAGCACCACTTCCTTCAAGCTCAAGATCAGTGCAGTCCTAGGGCCAAGAAATCAGGCAAAGGAGGCAGGAAATCTGCATGGATGAGCAAGGAGCTTCTGGAAAAACTCAAATGGAAGAAGGAAGTTTACAGAATGTGGAAAAAGAGACTGGCCACTTGGGAGGAATACAGGAACGTTGTCGGAATAGGCAGGGATACAACAAGGAAGGCTAAGGCCCACTTGGAATTAAACCTGGCAAGGCATGTCAAGGACAATAAGAAGGGCTTCTTACAGTACATCAGTAGCAAAAGGAAGACTAGGGACAATGTGGCCCTGCTACAGAATGAGGCTGATGCCCTGGTAATGGAGGATGCAAAGAAGGCGGAGTTACTGAATGCTTTCTTTGCTTCAGTCTTTACTGCTAAAGCTAGCCCTCAGAAATCCCAGACCCTGGAGGTAAAAGAGAGAGCCTGAAAGAAAGACTCTCCCTTGATCAAGGAGGATCAGGTTAGAGATCATTTAGACAAACTCGACACCCACAGATCCAAGGGCTCTGATGAGATGCACCACAAGTGCTGAGGGAGCTGTCAGCTGTTATTGTGAAGTCAATCTACATCATCTTTGAAAGGTCCTGGTGAACAGGTGAGGTGTCTGAGGACTGGAGGAAAGCTAATGTCATGCCAGTCTTCAAAAAGGGCAAGAAGGAGGTCCCAGGAAACTACAGGCCAGTCAGCCCCACCTCCATCCCTGGAAAGGTGATGGAACAGCTCATCCTGGATGTCATCTCCAAACATGTGGAGGAAAGGAAGGTTATTGGGAGTGGTCAACATGGATTCACCAAGGGGAAGTCATGCTTGACCAATCAGATAGCCTTCTATGATGGCATGACTGGCTGGATGGATGAGGGGACAGCAGTGGACATTGCCTACCTCAACTTCAGCAAGGCTTTTGACACTGTCTCCTGTGACGTCCTCATAGGTAAGCTTAGGAAGCATGGGTCAGATGAGTGGGCAGTGGGGTGGATTGAACAGCGGCTGACAGACAGAGGTCAGAAGGTTGTGATCAGTGGCACAGAGTTTAATTGGAGGTCAATAACTAGTGGTGTTCCCCAGGCGTCAGTACTGGGTCCCATCTTGTTTAACATATTCATCAACAACCTGTATGAGGGTATGGAATAATTACTAAAATGATCAATAATACGGCATTGTTCACACATTAAGGAAAGGTATAAAATCAAAAGGTTTCTAGGGTAGAACACAGCCCAGCTGGTATGTGAAGAATCCGCTACATCTGCAATTCCCTGTACAATGTTGCTTGCAAAGCAACATGGGGAGTGCAGTGGGGTGGAGACTCCAAGGCCGAACCCTGTGATAATCCAGCAAACATGGGAACGAGATGGCACCATGGAAGAAAAACAATGCAAAAGATGGAGCAGAGTGGAGACACAGCAACTAAAACTCTGTGATAAAATGGGAACTTGAGGACAAAATGAAGCCCTTGAAGGTTTTATGGAACTGATATAAACTGCCTTCCTGTTACCCTGAGCCAACGACCTGTCATTTTTTTGATGAAATGCTGTCCTTTGGTGAACTTTGCTCATTATAATGTCATTATAATACAAAAACACACCTCCATCCCAAAAGCCACCCACCTCCAAGGTGCAACCACTCCTCCTTGAGTCTGCGCCCTGAATTTTTCGTAAACTATACCTTTAAATGTGAGGCGAGAAAATTTTACACCAATCATAATGAAAGTATTTATGCCTAGAGTCACTCAAACTCCACCTTGAAGATAAAAAATTGTATAAAAATAGCCCAAGAAAGGGGGGATGTTAGGGAAGACACCACTGTGAACAAGTAGAGGAGGACTCCATCAAAGACTGCCTTGACTTCTGGGATCAGTTGACAGGCTGAGCCTTTCTTCCCCCCCATAAGGACGCTTGTGGGTAAGATTCAAACACTTGGCTATACCAAGTGCTTCCCTGGGAAACTTAGAAATCTCTATAGAGTTGTTTTATAACTTAG